CTAAAAGCTTTAAATTAAATAAAAATTTTTGAATGGCATCGACAGAAGGTCGTTTACCCGGAAACCGGCCAACCGAAGAAAACTCGAAGGGTGCAGCAAGCGAATGAACCTCTTCCTCATAAATCAACAGAGCCGGCAAACCTCGGTGAGAAGAAACACATAAATCAGGAAAAGAAGATGAAGAAATACTAGATAAGGCATCCTTAAACGAATGAGGCATAGAAGAGCCATTAAGAAAATCGGGATCTCGAAGGCGAGCATTCGCCATAAGCAGAATAACACAAACACAAAAATAACTGAGGATCTAGAGAATAACAACTTCCCTAAGACGGCAAACATCATCGAAGCAAAGGGAGGCGGAAAACCCTAGCAGAGCAACAAAAAAGGCGAACATCTCTAAGTTATTTAATTAATTTTATTTGATTTGTTAAATTTGAAATGTTAATGTAGGTTTTAGTCATTGAATTATTTTTTTAAGTAGAGTTAAACTAGAAGAGTGAAAAATGTTAAATCCTTTGGCATTTTTTTAAACAAAACATTAAAATATATTCGTTAAGTTAGCAATCATAAAAAAAACCAATATCAGGTAGCTTTAAACTTAATTGTTTTGAGTCCCTTCGATACATGTACTATTGATGGTACATGCTAATCTATGGGTTTTGCAGATTAAATCAAAATAAATATTGATGGAATCTCGTTTGCTCTCTATTCAATTATTTAAGCTCTATTAGATCTAATAGGATTTATTTATACAATATTAATAATGAAATGAAATATGGAATCTCATAGCCTATGATATATCTGCATAAAATAAACTTTTAAATTTTATTATTAAATAAAAGTAATTATCAAAGGAATAATATAATAACTTCAATGTGGCAAAAAATACACAAACAAGCTAATACTTTTTTTATTGATTAGTATTAATTATAAAGCTAGTAAAATTTTTATGTAATTTATTTGATTGATTATTTGATATTAATTTAATAAATTTTTTAAAAAAAATATTTAATAAAAATTATTTAAATATTATCTAATAATTAATTGTTATCCTTCGGACCCAAACACAAATTCCTGACCGGATTGAATTTATTTTTAATAATAATCTCTGTATTGTTCAAATCCTACAGCATTTATGATTAAATATTTTTTTTGGGAAACATGATATAGATTTCAAGTGTAAGAAAATATTCGGGCATTTATGATTAGATTATTTTTTTTTATTTTTTTGGGAAAGTATGATGCATTTAAAGTTTAAGAAAATTTGACGTTGGAAGTCGAAATTAGCAGGCGTAGGTGGAAGTTCAAACGAGCAGGCGTAAGTAACGTCCATATATACATCATATGAGTTTGTTGTCTTCATAAATCCTCCCATTTTCACAACTCTACAAAAAAAGCATGGCAGATTTGAATTCAAAAATTTCTCTCAAACTTCTGATCGATGCTCATAGCGACAAAGTACTTTTCGGTGAGGCTGGTAAAGACTTCGTAGATTTCTTGTTCAGCCTTCTTACTCTCCCACTAGGCTCTGTCATTAAGCTTCTATCTCCTTCAACTATGATTGGATCTATTGGAAAACTTTATCAAAGCGTAGAAAATCTTAACGAGATTTATCTTGTAGCAAACAGAGAAAAATCCTCTTTACTTCGACCCAAACTGTCCTCTTGTTATGTTACCAATCATTTTCTTCTTGACACAGAAACCACTGTAGAGCTCAAATACTATATTTGTAATGATTGCAATGAAACAGTCACTACTGTAAAAAATACCTTGTGCCCAAACTGCAATGTGGTGATAGACACCGAAGCCGCCTTTGTGGTGCCATCTTGTTCTACTTCTCGTGCTACAACCAGAGCTCAAAATGGAGGGGAGAATGCTGGAGGCTTTGTAAAGGGAGTGATCACCTACATGATTACAGATGATTTGGAAGTGACCCCAATGTCTGCAATCTCCAGCTTCACTCTTATCAATCGCTTCAGCATGAAAAAGGACGTCCAACTAATGGAAAAAGTGGTCACCGTTGGCATGGAAGAGGTTAATGCGCGCATAATCAAACAACTAATTTTTTTAGATTTGTTTTATAATTTTTCTTGGATTTGATGTGTGTTATTAAAATTGAATGTCTTAGGGAATTGCTTTGCTTAAGGCTTCGCTGGACTCTTCAACTCCATTGACTGATGTTTTCTGTTCCCCTAAGAAGAGGGCAAAAGCTCCATCTTCCTCTGCTGTGGATGATGACCTATTCTCCTAATTGCGATCTCATTATTTTGAAACTTCTGTGTGATGCTATCTATCCTATCAAAGTATGAGAACTTGATCTATCCTTATATTATGTATTATTTTGTTTGCGCAAGCTTTTTTTGTATATGTTTTGCTAATATATAGATGTTGCTGGCAATGCTGATGGGCTAATATTTGTATATATGCATGATTTATCTCTCTCTCTATATATATATATATTATGGACAGTCTCTTAATTTTTATAATTTTTTTCTTTTTGCTTTTAGTGTAATATGCATGGAAATGTAAAATTTTTAAACAAAATAAATTTTAGCTTTATATTAATATTATAATCACGAACATCTTTTTTTCAGAATTAAAAAATATATGAAAACTCTTAAGCATATGGGCTTCTTAATTGTGAAGAAGAATAATATGTCGAATTATATTGAATTTGTAACAATACATAAAGAGCAAAATATAATATTTTCTAAAATTTTTTGATAAAATTAATTATAATATTTATTAAATTAATTTGAAATATTAATTTTTTAACATGAAAAATATTATAACTGTTATATTTATTTTCAGTTAATGTTATATAAATTAAAATTATTTTAATAAAAATATAATTTAAAAATAATTGATTAATCATATATAATATGTTATACTTATTTAGAATAAACTTAATAATTAATATTTCTTAACAATTTAAATTTTATATGATATTATAAATAAATTTTATAAGATATTTCATTTATCTTAAAATAAATATAAACAATTAATAATATTCCATATAATATATTGGCTTGTAGTATGTTCCATATAGTATTGATATGTTTGCACACAGTTTAACAATTTGGTCTTAATTAACCATTCTTTTTAGGTTCAAGTAGAAAGGTCTAACATATACTATTTCACAACCACTGGTAAGCAAATAAAATATAGGGGTAATTTATATTAGTTTTAAATTTCGGCCTTAATTACCAACTCTTTTTGAGTCCAAGTAGAAAGGTTAACATATAAACTATTGTACAAAGCTAGCAAATATTGGGGTTCGTTTATAAGATGACAATTTTAAGTACTCATAGTTTGAATCCTTGTAATTTCATGGATGATTTAAGGAAGATAGACTTATGGTTCAGTAATTTTATATTTATTAATTGTTCATATTGTACACATGTTGTAATAAATAATAGTTATTTTAACGATGATTTGGAAGTTAACACTTTTGTTATGATATATGATATAATATATATATATATATATATGATATATTATATATTATATATATATACTATTATAATATTATTCTATGATGAATTACTGCGAAAATATATATATATATTTTCCTCTCAATTTTACTTTTTTTTTGGACATTTAGGCGTCAATTAACGCAAACTTCGCTCACACATCGCATAGACAAAAACTCGAAACTCAATTATCTCTTAGTTGATAGCAAAGCTCTCAAACCAACAGTCAAGGACTGCCAAAAAATTAATATTTTCGCAATATTTTTTTAGCAGCGGTCATAAAACCGATGCTAAAATTAGATAGAAACAGCAGTAGTAACCGATATTAAATTGATCATTAAAAAATTAAAATTTTCCTAGTATTTTATAGCGGCGGTTTGTAAATCGCAGCCTATGACACGATCACACGCCCCGCTCATAAATATGTCGATATCCTCCTTTCATAGCTTAACTGACTCAGGCTTTGTTTGTTTGAGTATTTTTTTGCCTTTTTCCATTTCCAAACGGAAGAATTTTTTTTATGGTGTGTTTGGTTCGTCAAAATCAAGTTCCCGGTAACTCTTTTTTTTATTTTTCTGCAGTTTTGAAAAAGTTTTTTATATATGCTTCTTTGTTAGAAAACTCCATTTTCTGAACTAAAGTTTTTTAAAACTGTTCCAAAAAAAACAAATGAAGCCTCGTTCGCTTTCTTCACTGCGACTTCGTAGATCCCCATTTCGCTAAATCAGCCAGCCCTATGCCGAAACCACCCATCTCGACGCAGAATCCTACCTCTATACCTCCACCGTTTCTCATGGACGCATCTCTCATGGAGAAATGGATACCCAAGCCCTTTGCCTTCTTGAAAGCCATTGATTGTTTCAATTGATTTGCTTGCTGGCAAAGAGGAAGGACCACACAATCGAGGTTATTGAAGCGCCTGCCTTCACTAGTGGAGCTCGAAATGTTTGGGTTTTAATTACATACAGCTTCCTTCAAAGTATAATGATTTATGAATTCTTTGCTATCTGCCTTTCTTTGTCTAAGTCGTCTCCAGGTTTTTTTCCGCACTGAGTCAATCTAGTTCAGGGGAAGTTCCTCAACCCTGTCGGAGAGTATCGGTATATATATGTGCAAGCAATGCGTTTTCGTTTTATGCCCCAAATTGCAATTTTGAAGAGAGGAAAGAGGAGTAAGAAAATCATTGTGTTGTGTTCGACTCCTTAATTAACCGGATTTCTTCTCATAAAATATGTCATTGATCTAATTGGAAAAAGGAATTATGGTAGCATAATTGTATATGAGATCAATATATTTTTTTTGCGGGTCTCCTATCTTCAATTTGACAAACTATTAGAAGTATCAAAATATAAATTATAATGATGACCAAAGGTTGTGAAAGCGTCTTTTGAGGAGTTGCTTAAAGAACCTTTCCTGATTTTATCCACGGAGTTAATTTTTCTTTTACTTGCAGACAATTCTTCCTCAAGTGAATGTGTGCTGAAGTAATGGAAGCTGCTATGGATGATAAATCACTCGAAGCTATTAAATAGGAAGCTGTTGATTTGGTATCTATATTCCCTACATAGAGAATTTGCTTATTGAATTTGAACTTTCCAACCCATTGATTTATGAATGGAGACAAATAGATTTGCAGCAAAATCAAGAGTAATTATTTATTTTTATGTATATGATATGCTTATTTTAGGATCTAATCATTCTAAAATTGTAGAAACTAAATTTTTTCTATCTTCAAAATTTGAGATGAAGGATTTAGGAGAATTGGAAGTAATATTAGGAATAAATATAAAAAAAACGAATAGATGGAATTATAATTTTTCAAAAACACTTAGTAGAAATTAAAGATGTTGAGGAGATTTAAACATTTTAATTTTATACCAGTTAATACTCCTTATAATATTGATAGTTTTACTTATGATATAAACAATAATCGATAGTAATCTAACACAAAAAATTGATAGCAGCAAAAATCAATGAAGGTTCATCAAATATCATGTAACACAATGAAAATTCACAGAAATGCATAGCTTGAAAATGCTTTTTTTCTTGTTCTGAGTGGTTAGAAAAGTAAATGCTTGAGCTTGAGAAGCTTCCGGCCCAGTGGGTTCGTAAAACTCACTAGGATAAGCGGTATTGGTTTTCAGGTTTTGAGCAGAATGTTCTAGATAAGAGAATAAAATAACACTTCTGCATGCCTCTATGATACGATTACATATCTAAATAGTACATTAAAAATGATGCAACTTAAATTCTAAAAACATAAGCCAAAATAAACCATTAATTCCCACAAAAGCCAAACAAAATATTCAAGTAATTACGATTAAGACAAAATCCAACAACCGCTATAGAGTATGAATAGAAATTACATAATTATACAAATAATTTCATAACAAAGAATAACACAATATGCAAACATTAACATGTATGAGCTTTGGTGAATGTTAAATGCTGTTTAAGGAATTGATTAAAAAACCTATATATTTTTTATATTGCTGTAAAGTTATCTAATAATTATGGACAAAACAAATTCCACTAACAATTTTGGATATGATTTGAAAATTTTTTAATAAGGTAAATAAGTTAATGCGATGAACATATTTCCTCACAAAGGATAGTACAAGCAATCATGTCTGTCCTTTTTGAAAGAATTCATGGCTCGAGAAGGAGTCCTGTATTTAGGTGGTTCTCTCTTTTTTGAGCTTATTTTTTTTGTTGGTTTTATTTTTGCCCTTGTTTTTCTTATGTCCTCAATTTTTATAAGTTTCTAATTTTGGTATATTCAATATACGGGCTTTGTCTCAAATTTTTCCAAAAAAAAAAGAGTTAAAGAGAACTGATGTATGATTAATTGAAAAGCTTGTATTCATTCTTTACATTGCTTGTGTTATATAAAAAGAGGGGAGACAACCCTTTACATAGGACAGAGATTTTGCAGTTTAAGTAATAATGAAAGCAGATGGTTTTGTGCTTCCTGAGCTACAGAAGAGCAGTCGTTGATGGATAAGTGCGGCTGTAGTTTGCTGAGCTTTTCCACCAGCTTTGTATAGCTTATCACCACCCCTCAAACTAAGTATCCAGGGATTGGGTGGTTAGTTTGGAGCGAATTTCGTTGAACCTTTTCGGAGGGAGATCCTTGGTTAAGATGTCCGACGGTTGATCTTGAGAGGAGATATGATGAACTGCGATCTCCTTTGCATGAATTCTGTCTCGGATAAAGTGGTAGTCTATTTCGATGTGTTTGGTGCGAGCATGAAAGACTGGGTTGTTAGCTAAGGCCATAGCTGATATGTTATCACAGTGTAGAGGTGTGGCGAGCGACTGAGTGCTGACGAAGTCTGCTAGTAGATGCCTAAGCCACATGATATCGGTTGCTGCTGCGGCTAGCTAGAGCACGATACTCCGCTTCCGTGGATGATTTAGCAGTTGTTGGTTGTTTCTTGACACTCCATGAGATGAGTGCATTGCCAAGATAGGAGCAATACCCAGTTGTGGACTTACGGTCTGAGGGATCTGAGGCCCAATCGGAGTCGGAGTAAGAGCGGAGAATAAGATATCCCCGGGTGATCGGAAGTCCGTAGGCTGTCGTTCCCTTGATATAGCGGAGGAGACGTTTGAGTTTGTAGTAGTGAAGGTTGAGTGGGTGGTGCATAGCTTGGCATAGCAGATTTGTGGGGAAAGCTATGTCTGGGCATGTAATAGTGAGGTATTGGAGCGAACCTATGATCTTGCGATATATGAGTGGATCGGTGAAGGGTAGATGGCTGTATGTAGAGGTTTTGGACTGAACGGAGATTGGGGTGGGCGCTGCTTTGCAATTTTCCATTCCAGCTAGGCGTAGAATGGAGTCAGCATATATGGATTGTTGAAGAAAATAGGAGTTGGGCAGTTGGGTGACTTGAATGCCTAGAAAAAGAGATATAGGACTGAGATCTTTGAATTTGAAGTGCTTTTGTAGATTTGAAAGGATGAGTTTGATGTGGTTGGTGTTATTATTGGTGATAAGGATATCATCAACATAAAGAAGGAGATATGTTTGAGTGGTGGGTGTTTTGTGGATGAAGAGTGAAGGATCGTATTTACTTATTGTGAAGTCGTATTTAAGAAGAAAGGAGGATAAAGTTTGAAACCATTGACGTGGGGCTTGACGAAGTCCATAGATTACTTTGTGGAGTTTACAGACATGGTTGGGGTGAAGAGGATCGATGAAGCTAGGAGGTTGTTTCATGTATACTGTTTCTTGAAGGGGGCCATATAAAAAAGCATTGGAGATATCACATTGTCGAATAAACCAATTGTGGTGAAGGGAAATGGTGAGAAGTAGTCTAATGGTTGGCATTTTAGCTACTGGACTAAATGTTTCATGAAAGTGGATGCCAAATTGTTGTGTGTATCATTGGGCTACTAGTCTAGCCTTATAACGATCAATGGTTCCCGTGGGTGTGAGTTTGAGTCGGTAGGTCCATTTGCATCATATAATGGGTTGTTTGGATGGGGGTGGAGTGAGGGTCCATGTCCCTTGATTTTGTAGCGCATAAAATTTGGCAGACATGGCTGACTGCCACTGGGTGTCTTTTTTTGCTTGCTGAAAGGTGGTAGGAGTGGATGGTGTTGTGTGGGCAGCAGAGAGTGTAACGATTTGTTTTGGTTTTAGGTTGCCCGATTTAAATCTGGTAAGCATGGGTTTGTGGTTGAGCCTTGGGGGGAGAGGAAATGGTTATTGGTGGAGATGAGTGGGCTATGGATGCTTGAGAGTCAATGGAGAGACTTGGAGTTTTATTTGTTGTAGAAGGTGATGAGGTGTAGGTGGGTAATTGTGAGTTGGCTGAAGGGTCTTGTGAGCGGTTAGGTGAGGAAATTGAGGTTGGGGTGAGGAGTAGAGGGGAAGTAGATGTGATTGTGCTATCAGGTGGGAGTTTGGGTGGAATGAGAGTGTACGGGAATTGGTCTTCATGGAAAATAATGTGGCGGGACAAGATGATTTTGTTGGTGGTTGGGTTGAAGCAACGATAAACATTTGTGGAGTTGGAATAACGAAGAAATATGCATGGGGTGGAGCGAGGAGAGAATTTGTTGGAGGTGAGTGGTTTGAGCCAGGAGAAGCAGAGGCAGCCGAACACCTTGAGCTGATGATATGCAGGTTGTTTGTTGGTTAGAAGTTGGTAGGGGGATTTGCGGGAGGTATTTTTGGAGGGGAGGCGATTGATTAGGAAAATGGAAGTGAGTATGACATCGGTCAAAAATGTTTGAGGAAGATTGGCTTCATATAGAAGAGCTCGGGTTGTCTCCAGTACGTGTATGTGTTTGCGCTCGGAGACCCCATTTTGTTTTGGAGTATAGGGGCATGTGAGTTGGTGAATGATACCTTTTGATGTAAGGAAAGATTTGAACTGAGCTGAGGTATACTGCCTCCATTGTCTGATCGAAAAAATTGAATGGTGGTGTTATATTGATTTTCGACCATGGTGAGGAAGTGAATAAATTTCTGATAGGTTTCAGATTTGTTAGTCATTAGATAGAGCCAGGAAATTTTTGAATAATCATCGATGAAGATGACATAATACTTGAAGCCATTGTGAGATAAGATGGGAGAAGGTCCCCACACTTCACTATGTATTAAAGATAATGGTTTAGATACAGACTTTGTTTGCAATTGGAAAGGTATCTTATGGCTCTTGGATACATTACAAGACACGCAACATAACTTAGAAGAAGAAGGTAAACTAAGAGACTGCATGATTGCAGCTGTTACAAAATTGTGAGTGTAATATCAGTTTTTGCTCCAGGTTCGTCCGGACGAAGTCGGATCGTCCGGGACGATCGGTACAGGTTGTGCAGAAAATCAGTTTTGGCTGTA